GAGTCCAAAATGCAATTACAGCAGTGAAATTCTACATAAACAAGTTTTGTGCTAGCCAAAAAATGGCCTCTTCAGATATTTATGAATATCGGTCTATAATTGACCTCCGATTAAGGGTCCCCTTTAGAAACGATATTAACAATATTTGTACGAACAGAAATCATCCAAATTTTAGGAGGATCGGTCCATAATTTACCGCACCTCCGTATAAGGGATCCTTTAACGCTCATGATTGGCATTAAAATACGAGTAGATATATGAATTCCAACATAAACCAGTTATGTATATGGAAATTGAAATCTTCCTACCGACTTTGATGAAGATGGATCGATAAATGACCACTTAAGAAAATTACTTTACACTCATTAGTTACTTAAAATTACGACTTAGGCGATGAAATTCGATGTTCATATTAATATCGACATATGATAAAATTGTTTCGATAATATCAAAGTTTATTAATAAGGATGAATTGATGGTGGGTATTTAAGATTCGGCATGGCCGAATATAACACTCTTACTTGTTTTTTATTGAAGATTTGTATCCGGAAGATATCTGGGGTATTTAGAAAATTTATTAGATATACGTATATTTTGTAAGGTTGAAAAATGATATTGTGGAAATTACTAACGAAATGACAAACTTATATTTACTATCCCCAAGAAGGTGAAGCGTATAACTACAAATAATAATAAAAAGGAATTTCATGATTATTACTACTTGAATTACAACATAATAACGGGTGTATGTTTATATTTTAGTTAGGCGTTATTGCAGATAATTGTACAATTACGATGTCTTTACATTTGCAACATAAAGACACTTTTAAAAGAAAATATTAAATATGTAAAACAATACTAAAAGATAAAGCTATCATAAATTCTAGATTAAACTGTTTTATAATAAAATTAAAAAGAATGATATTAGTTATAAATATTTAACTATCAATTTTATGGAGAATATTAAACATTCGAAACTTTGAAAATCTTTGTTTGCTACCCCTCTTAAAACTTATCTAAACTCAAAATATTTTGGTTTTTTAAAAAATTTGCAATTAAAACGTCTCTCCAGTAGGATATTTTTTGAAGAAGGTCCAGATCAACAGACGAAGAAAATGAAAGCCAAAATATGTTGGGTATATGTGAAACCCAAACACGTTTCAGAAGGGTACTTAAATATGATATAAAATTTACTAAATGTTTCACAATATTGACATCAATATGAAAAGGCTTTGTATGTCAATCGTCATAGAATTCAATAGGTGAAATTATCTTTAAAACTGATCCCAATAAGAAATATTAAGAATGCTATATTCGGCTATGCCGAATCTATAAGGTTTGATACAGTGCACTGTGGTATAGGAAAAAAAAGAGGGAAATAATTCGGTAACTTCTAAACGGTTAATCCGATTTTAATGAAATTTGGTATGCACAAAGAGGAGGTGTTGTCGAGTTTAGGTTTTAAATTTGGACCTTATAGGCCAACCAGGGGCTTGGCAGCGGGTCCTCAAATTAGGACACCTCGGCTATGTTAAATTTTTAAAACGATCCTATTTCTTCATTTGAGTTCCGATTTAAAAAAAAAAAATTACGTATATAGAATCTCCTCATCGAGCGCTATAAAAAATGTCGTAAATTATCTCTTATAGTTTAGGAGATATTCGCATTTGAAACAACAAGTTTATATATCAAGCAGTGAAAGAATTATGTAAAAATCATGACTGAGTCCAAAGTTATAGGCATTTTAATTTAAAAAATTAAAAAAGGCGATTTTTTGCCATTTTTTTGGGAAAAAAGTATCTTTTTCTTTTTAAGTTGTCTAAAAAATTTCTAAGAAGATGTATATAGAATTTATACTTTTTGGAAAGCTGACTTTACATAAAATACTTAAAAAAAAAATTAAAAAATGTTTTTTATTCAGTTTTTGCGAAGTATAAATTCTATATACATCTTCTTAGAAACTTTTTAGATAACTTAAAAAGAAAAAGATACTTTTTTCCCAAAAAAATGGCAAAAAATCGCCTTTTTTTAATTTTTTAAATTAAAATGCCTATAACTTTGGACTCAGTCATGATTTTTACATAATTCTTTCACTGCTTGATATATAAACTTGTTGTTAAGCGAATAAAAAAAATTGCTAATATTTGGACCCGCTATTATCAAAAAACTAAAGTAAGGACGGTAAAAATTTTAAAATTTTAATTTTCAAATGCGAATATCTCCTAAACTATAAGAGATAATTTACTGCTACGACATTTTTTATAGTGCTCGATGAGGAGATTCTATACACGAATTTTTTTTTAAATCGGAACTCAAATGAAGAAATAGGATCGTTTTAAAAATTTAACATAGCCGAGGTGTCCTAATTTGAGGACCCCCCGCCGAGCCCCTGGTTGGCCTATAAGGTCCAAATTCAAAACCTAAACTCGACAACACTTCCTCTTTGTGCATACCAATTAAAATCGGATTAACCGTATAGAAGTTACCGAATTATTTCCCTCTTTTTTCTTTCCTATACCACTGTGCAGTGTACAATATATCCCAAAAAGTAATTTGTATCGAATTTTATCTTAATACCATCATTAGTGAATGATTTGTTGACAATGTACTGATTTTCTACAAGAGGGGATATATGGAAAATAGGGATCTTATATAAGGGTTAATTATGAACTGATCCTGCCAGTTATGTGTGTTAAAGTCATTTTCTGTAGGGGGTTTTATATATAGAGATATCTTTGGTATTACAAGACTTATTTATGTCAAATTTTAATTTAAATTATTTTCTGGAGGTGACCTTACATGGGGGGTAGGGTCATTTATGGACTGATCCTCATAAAATTTTAATGTTTTTTCTAAAACTTGACTATGTCGCATTTCGTCGCTATTCTCATATTTATAAGCCTGCAGTGAGCTTTAAAGTAATTTCCTAAAGAGGACCTTATATGAGGGGAAGGTTCAGTTATGGACCGATGCTCATAAAATTAGATAGGAAGATTTGGTTTCCTATAAATCTTGTTTATTAAAAAATAACTTTTATTAATGATCGAAAAAATAAATGTCAAAAAATAACTTTTATTTCTGCCCGAAAAAATATAAGTAAAAAAACTTTTGTTTTTGCTCAAAAAAATAAAAGTCAAAAATAACACTTATTTTGTGGCTTTCATAATAAAAGTCATAACATTTACGTACCCTGGTCGAATTTCATCGCTATACTCGTACTTTTAAAGCAGATATGCCCGTTAAAGCAGATTTTCGACAGTCCACTTGTATGTGTGCTATCCGAAAACGTGGACCGATATTGACCATTTTCTCTATAGATAATATTTGTGCAAAATTTCAAACCTCTAGCTTATTCCGTTTGGTCTCTATCGTGCTTTCAACAGACAGACAGACAGACAGACGGACATGGCTAGATCGTCTTAGAATTTAATAAAGACCCAGAATATATATACTTTTGTAGGTCTATGACCAATATTTCGATGTGTTACAAACGGAATGACAAAATCTTTCATCTTTTTTGATGGTGGGTAGAAACAAAAAATGTTAAACATTTTTAAAAATTTTTAGAACATCTCTATGTGATTTATGGAAAATGAAAAAGAAAATATAAATGTAAAAAAATCAATATCTCTCTCTGATTAGCGGTACATGGGATTTGAATTTTGGGTAAACTATTTTTTTTGGCAACATTTTATATAAAACCTTCAAAGATTAGTAAAATCGAATAATATTAACACATAAACCTTAAGGGTCAAGTTATACAATATTGGGAAATTTGAGTGAAACTGTAGTGAAATATTATTTAGTTTTCAACCGATTTATATGAAATTTGAGAAAAATTTATATTTTAATATTTATATTAATACAGGCATCAATCTATATTAACCCTTAAACGTAAATATATTTATTGAATTTTATAAAATTTCCTTAATATAAGAACTAAATAAAACAAACTTTGGTTTTAAAAGTTTTTTTTGAGCAAATAAAAAACAAGTTTTTATTTCATATTAATATCGATATACTAGATACAAATGATGATAAAATTCAAGATAAATCTAATAAATGAATCGATTCACAAATATCAATGTGTATATAAGGGAACCTTAAGAAAATCTCTTTATTTTAGGGCATATAATTTGATGAGATTCGGCAATGCCGAATATATAACACTAATACTTTTTAATGTTCATATCAATTATGTCTTACAAATTACTGCCGGTTTCTCTAAATGCATATATTGAAAACAACAAATAAAATGAAAATTTTGTTTTTGTTTTCAATATGTTTATAAGAAGGAAAATGTAGTTTCGATATTGTGAAACAGGCAGTTAATTAGTATTTCCATATTTTGTTTCGTTTAAAAAATCCTGCATAAACTAGTCCTTATAGAGATCTTACTTCCAAATACAGTTCTTATATTCCTACAATTCATACTTTAAACAAAATCTGTAGTTTAACTTAAATAAAATTTAACATTTTATTTCGAGTGTAAGTTGCAGCTTTTGTAAAACAAAAACATTTTTGCAAAATGTCATACATACAACAACTAACTAGAGCTAAAAAGAAACAGGTAAACAGCAACAAAACTTGTCTTAAAGTTAAGCACAAAAGCTACTGGTCTTTAGCCCAGCATAAGAAAAGCTTTAACACGCGTTTAATGAATGGATGTACAGATCGATCGATCAGACAAAAAGAGGCGGGTGCAAATAAACAACAAAATAAGAAAACACGAGGCACAGGCAAAGCTTAGACAAAAATACTTAATTAAAGAAACCGGTTTAGCAAAATAATAAAATTGTATGTATGTAGTATATACTCATATAATAATACATACTTACATACATATATACAACAAGAAATCTTTTTAGCAAAACAAACAAGATCCATGGGGAGTAAGCAACAAGAGAAGCTTGATGAAAGAAAAGAAAAGCTTTTTCGCATACAAAACAAAATCAAATTTTCAAGCGGTAACAAACATTAACTGCAAAATCTCAATCAACACAATTGAGCGAAATTACTAAGCGAACGGTTAGTTAGATAAAGCGGAGAATTGAAAAATTAATTGATTTTATTTGTTTATTACTTTTAAAATTTAGCATTTAATTTATTTGCAAATTGTAAAAACTAAAAACGAGAGAAAAAACGAACTTAAAAAATATTAAAAAAAAATGTAAATAAAAAATTAAAAAAAGTTTAAAATTTATTTATTTATTTAAATTAATGGAACTTTTCTCAAGATTATTAAGAATATTATTTATTGTTTCAAAATAATAAAAAACGAAACTTTTTAAATCAGAGATCATTATCACAAATTTAATACCAGAGTTTATGGCGCATGCGCTGTGTGTTTGTGTTTTATTTTTATCGAAAAACCTCATCATGAACATGGTTGTCTTCATTCACAAATTTTGAGTTCAAAATTTTGAGTGTTTTTTAAGGGGAGAGTGTTTCTGTTTTGTTTGTTTGTCTTGTCTTTTGGCGATTATGAAATAATAACATACACAATAAAAACCAAAATTATGTAAAAAAAAAACAATAAAAACAACAAAACAAAAAAAATAAACAACAGCAATTTGTTTAAACTAAAAATCCAAATAAGAAATTACACTAACCACTAGCATAATGCGAAAAGAAATGTGTTAAAAATAACAACAAAACAAACTGAAATTTAAATATGTACATATGTAGTTATTAATAATTGTTAATACAAATAAAAAAAATCTGATCAATAGAAAACGAATTTTCTTTTCTAATGCAAAAACAGAACATGCAGAAAGAGAATGTGTTCAATACAAAGAAGAAAAATAAATGTTTAAAGAAAAGTGAAGCTGCCTTGTAAGCCATAAACAAAAAGCTAACCACATGCAAACTAATAAACAAATAGACGACACACAGTGGTATAGGAAAAAAAAAAGAGGGAAATAATTCGGTAACTTCTAAACGGTTAATCCGATTTTAATGAAATTTGGTATGCACAAAGAGGAGGTGTTGTCGAGTTTAGGTTTTGAATTTGGACCTTATAGGCCAACCAGGGGCCCGGCGGGGGGTCCTCAAATTAGGACACCTCGGCTATGTTAAATTTTTAAAACGATCCTATTTCTTCATTTGAGTTCCGATTTAAAAAAAATTTCGTATATAGAATCTCCTCATCGAGCACTATAAAAAATGTCGTCGTAGCAGTAAATTATCTCTTATAGTTTAGGAGATATTCGCATTTGAATATTAAAATTTAAAAATTTTTACCGTCCTTACTTTAGTTTTTTTGATAATAGCAGGTCCAAATATTTCCGATTTTCGCCATTTTTTTTTTATTTGCTTAACAACAAGTTTATATACCAAGCAGTGAAAGAATTATGTAAAAATCATGACTGAGTCCAAAGTTATAGGCATTTAAATTTAAAAAATTAAAAAAAGGCGATTTTTTGTCATTTTTTTGGGAAAAAAGTATCTTTTTCTTTTTAAGTTATCTAAAAAGTTTCTAAGAAGATGTATAGAATTTATACTTTTTGGAAAGCTGACTTTACATAAAATACGATAAATGAAACAAAACCTAAAAATTTTTGATACCGAGGGGACCAGGTCCATCCAAAAAAACCCTATTTTTTATGGAAAATTAAATTTTGAGCAAAAATTCTCAAATCGCATAGTCGATATCAAATTATAGTGACCTGTTTTATATGACCCAATAAGTTCTTAATCATTTTGTAACGGGTTTCGATAACCCCGCCCCTGGTATGGATATAATAGGCAAAAAACCAAAAAATCCCATTTTTGGGATTTTTTAAAACTTTTTTGGGAATTCCGGGATTTCTAATAAGAAAATTCAAAATTTTTATTTAATTTTGGATTTTGAGTAAAAAAATCTACCTAACTGTAAAATTTCATCAAAAAATATTCATAAATAAAATTTTTATTGCAATTTGAAAAATTTGTATCTTCGCAAAAACTGAATAAAAAACATTTTTTAATTTTTTTTAAAAAAAGTATTCCGCGAATTTTTTAATTTTCAAAAATTATATACAGTTTTGAAAAATAGACAAAATTACCTTTCCATTGATATATAACATGCCTACCTAATGTTTTTTAAGTGACAAATTAATTAGGGAAAACTCAACATCTTTTAGAAAATTTGCCTAGCACTATTATTTTCATCCATAAGGTTAACTCTTAAATTTGTTACATATATGGATGAAAATAATAGTGCTAGGTAAATTTTCTAAAAGATGTTGAGTTTTCCCTAATTAATTTGTCACTTAAAAAACATTAGGTAGGCATGTTATATATCAATGGAAAGGTAATTTTGTCTATTTTTCAAAACTGTATATAATTTTTGAAAATTAAAAAATTCGCGGAATACTTTTTTTAAAAAAAATTAAAAAATGTTTTTTATTCAGTTTTTGCGAAGATACAAATTTTTCAAATTGCAATAAAAATTTTATTTATGAATATTTTTTGATGAAATTTTACAGTTAGGTAGATTTTTTTACTCAAAATCCAAAATTAAATAAAAATTTTGAATTTTCTTATTAGAAATCCCGGAATTCCCAAAAAAGTTTTAAAAAATCCCAAAAATGGGATTTTTTGGTTTTTTGCCTATTATATCCATACCAGGGGCGGGGTTATCGAAACCCGTTACAAAATGATTAAGAACTTATTGGGTCATATAAAACAGGTCACTATAATTTGATATCGACTATGCGATTTGAGAATTTTTGCTCAAAATTTAATTTTCCATAAAAAATAGGGTTTTTTTGGATGGACCTGGTCCCCTCGGTATCAAAAATTTTTAGGTTTTGTTTCATTTATCGTATTTTATGTAAAGTCAGCTTTCCAAAAAGTATAAATTCTATATACATCTTCTTAGAAACTTTTTAGATAACTTAAAAAGAAAAAGATACTTTTTTCCCAAAAAAATGACAAAAAATCGCCTTTTTTTAATTTTTTAAATTTAAATGCCTATAACTTTGGACTCAGTCATGATTTTTACATAATTCTTTCACTGCTTGGTATATAAACTTGTTGTTAAGCAAATAAAAAAAAAATGGCGAAAATCGGAAATATTTGGACCTGCTATTATCAAAAAAACTAAAGTAAGGACGGTAAAAATTTTTAAATTTTAATATTCAAATGCGAATATCTCCTAAACTATAAGAGATAATTTACTGCTACGACGACATTTTTTATAGTGCTCGATGAGGAGATTCTATATACGAAATTTTTTTTAAATCGGAACTCAAATGAAGAAATAGGATCGTTTTAAAAATTTAACATAGCCGAGGTGTCCTAATTTGAGGACCCCCCGCCGGGCCCCTGGTTGGCCTATAAGGTCCAAATTCAAAACCTAAACTCGACAACACCTCCTCTTTGTGCATACCAAATTTCATTAAAATCGGATTAACCGTTTAGAAGTTACCGAATTATTTCCCTCTTTTTTTTTTCCTATACCACTGTGCGACAGCCAAATTGTTAAGACAAGATTCTGTAAACACATTAACAAGTACATACCAGCAAGTTTAGAGGAAAAGACAGTAAAAAAACAACAACACAGCGCATGCGTCTAGTCATGCTAATGATGATGATCATGTCGATGCATTTATCATAATCACTGCTAATATAACATTGCACAGTAGGCTCTAAAGATAATGGTAATTTTTTATAAAAACACAATACATATTATATTGTTTTAAAGTTATAGTTTAATTAAGAATTAAGAATAATAAATATAATATTAATTATCTTACATTTAATTTTTGCCTAAAATAAAACATACATAGATATAGATTTTGATATTTGGGGAACTGTAGTAATACTCTGTGTTAGTCTATATTCATATCAAAGTATAAGACGCAATATTCAAAATAATGAAACATAATTTAAAACTACTTTTATTTATTATTTTATCTTAACGAAACTTAACTTACTTAAGAAGTCATATTCAAATAAAATCGGATCAGTTCCTAACTAGTCATAACTCGCACAATATAAACACATAAAGAGAATATTGTTTTTTACAACCCGATTTAATAAAGTTATAAATAATAATAATTTATTTTAAATTATTAAAATCGCACAGGCCAACGAAATCAAGGTACTTAAAACCAATTCTGAAACCGAATCTATTTTCTGCTTTTCTTTATAACCCACATTTATAAAAATATATTTACGTTAAAGGGTTAATTTAGATTTTTTAGATGTCATTAAAAATGGGTCTTTATTTCATTTATACCGGTTAAAAACTAAATAATATTTCACTACGGTCTTACGAATATTTCCTATATTTAGTTTGACCTTTATAGTTTAGAGAATAATATCATTCGTTCTTACAAAAACTTCGGATATATATTAGGTTGTCCCGTGGAACATTTTTAGGAGGAATACCTCTAAAACGATGCGTTTCAATGTACTAAATACGAGAAAAATAAAAATCATTTTTTTTTTTTTTTGAAAATGTCCTCAGTTCCCTACCTCCGATTGAAAATCTTGATTTCAGTACAATATGTTAAAAAAAATTTTTGCAATCTTTTCGAATTGGGTTTAAAAAATTCCGTAATTTTGAGCTTATAGTTGGTAAAAATAATTAAAATTTCTGTTAGAGTATTTCTGGTCCGCAAAACAACTTTTATTCTATTATAAACGACATATAAATTATTCTGAAATGAACAAAACCAAATGCTAAACAAGTTTTTAAATATTTTTCTGTATGAACTGAAAAATACGACAATTTTGACACCCATTTCGATAAAAAGCGAAAATAACATAAATCTCCAGCCCACTAAAAATCATTTTGTGGACCAAAAAAAAAAAGTACATTAATACGCATCGATTGAGTGGTATTCCTACATAAAATTCTTAAAAAGGCTGTTCCTCGGGATACTCTAATATATATTTCCTAAATACTATATCACTTTATACTATACTATAGGGGGATTTTTAAAATTTTCGAACAGGCTTTGTACCTGACTTGGTACACACAAAATTTCCAAATTCATTACGGTTTATCAAGGTTCAAAGTTCACATTTTTTAAGATTTTTTTTAACAAGCATTAAATTTGACATCGTATATTTTCTAAACTATTTATCCGATTTTAATCGATTTAGTCTCTAATTAAAGCCTATGTCTAGTCTTTATTCCTTTACATGCTTATAATGTACTCAACAATATATAAAAAATTCAGAATGGGACAATCTCAAGTAAATTAACTTATAGTAAAATATTCCACCTCATTTTCGATCAAAAATAGTCATGATCCTAATATACAATAGTGTCCTGAGGAACTGCCTTTTAAAGAATCTATAGGAATACTTTTCAATATATTTCAATATTATGTGTTTGTGCTGATGTTTATAATGCACTAAAATATTGGTTCTACAGTCATCTTAGAAGATACCAATCGGTTTTGAATCATTATCAGAGTCGATCAATCTTGTCCATCATACCAAGTAAACCTTATAATCAAAGTAAAAGTCGAATTTTCAATATTATTAAAAACTATTTGTATAAAAAAACATTAATTTAATAAAATAATAAAAATTATCATTAATAAAACAACTTAGAACCCACTGTGCAATATTGAAAACATAGCTTATATATATGTATATTTTTAGATGCATAAAACGATCGTAATGTTAAAGTGAAAAGTAAAATAAAACAAAAAGATAATGAATAGACATTCTAGTAAACAACTCAACGAAACTGCACTAAAATCCACAGCAACGCCACCTCCTCACTTTGAATTTCTATAGAAAAGAATTCCCACTGTCTGATCTCAAATTAAAACACCACCAACCAACAACTATCTAGCTGATCTATAAATTTCACAGACACAAAAACAAAAACCAAGAAGAGGACTTATTTTTCTAACTAAATGTTTGCGTTTCGAGATTCATTTCAAAACAACAGATAAATTTTCCAAAAATTTGCAAACAAACAAAAAAACAAGAAAAGAACTGAAACTACAACAACACGTCTATAAGTCTAGGAAAAATCTAGTTTCAATTTTCTTTTTCTATTAAAACCAGTCAGCCACTTAATCAGTCAGTCGGTTTTATTTGAATTATTTTTTTTTTGTTTGTGTCTCTCACTCTCTTATTCTTTCAACGCGGCTGACAACGATAATGATGACGATGATCATGAATTAAAAAGAAAACGAATTACAAAAACAACATTAGCATTAGAAATAGACAACCAGAACAACAACAGCAATAATAAAAAAACTAGTGCAATACAAATACCAAACAAAGTGAAGAAGATAAAAGCAGAACCAGAAAAACATCACTGGTATTGAGGTTCAGATTGTTTTTGTGCAGATTTTTCAAATTCCCTTTTTTGTTGTTTACAAAATAAATAATCCATGGAAAACTGCAACAAAGAAAAAATGTTCTCTTTTTCCACAACGACATCAACAACAACATTAGCAACATCATCAGTGGCAGCAACAACAGCAACACCAGCAGCACCATCACAATTAACGAAAACAGTAGCAGCAAATGCTTTAAAGGTAAGAATGATGTAAAATATCAACAAAGAAGATTTTTATATAAGTACTTTTTTGTATTTAATTGTACTTTACAGTACTATTTATTTAATATTTTATTTGAGACCAAGGCTAAAAGATTCTTCAAGAAAGTTTATATTTTTAACATGTGATATTAGTTAACTTGCTTACGTTTTGCTTTGGTACTAAAACTATTCGAAAAGTATCTTAAGTAATAAAATATTATAAAAAAAGTCGCCTATATAATATTTCTGTAGAAAAATTGTCGCCTTCATAATTTTTCTATAGAAAAATTGTCGCCTTCATAATTTTTCTATAGAAAAATTGTCGCCTTCATAATTTTTCTATAGAAAAATTGTCGCCTTCATAATTTTCCTATAGAAAAATTGTCGCCTTCATAATTTTCCTATAGAAAAATTGTCGCCTTCATAATTTTCCTATAGAAAAATTGTCGCCTTCATAATTTTCCTATAGAAAAATTGTCGCCTTCATAATTTTCCTATAGAAAAATTGTCGTCTTCATAATTTTTCTATAGAAAAATTGTCGCCTTCATAATTTTTCTATAGAAAAATTGTCGCTTTCATAATTTTTCTATAGAAAAATTGTCGCTTTCATAATTTTTCTATAGAAAAATTGTCGCCTTTCATAATTTTTCTATAGAAAAATTGTCGCCTTCATAATTTTTCTATAGAAAAATTGTCGCCTTCATAATTTTTCTATAGAAAAATTGTCGCCTTCATAATTTTTCTATAGAAAAATTGTCGCCTTCATAATTTTTCTATAGAAAAATTGTCGCCTTCATAATTTTTCTATAGAAAAATTGTCGCCTTCATAATTTTTCTATAGAAAAATTGTCGCCTTCATAATTTTTCTATAGAAAAATTGTCGCCTTCATAATTTTTCTATAGAAAAATTGTCGCCTTCATAATTTTTCTATAGAAAAATTGTCGCCTTCATAATTTTTCTATAGAATTTTTCTATAGAAAAATTGTCGCCTTCATAATTTTCCTATAAAAAAATTGTCGTCTTCATAATTTTTCTATAGAAAAATTGTCGCTTTCATAATTTTTCTCTAGAAAAATTGTCGCTTTCATAATTTTTCTCAAGAAAAATTGTCGCTTTCATAATTTTTCTCTAGAAAAATTGTCGCTTTCATAATTTTTCTCTTGAAAAATTGTCGCTTTCATAATTTTTCTCTAGAAAAATTGTCGCTTTCATAATTTTTCTCTAGAAAAATTGTCGCTTTCATAATTTTTTCTCTAGAAATATAGTCGCCTTCATAATTTTTTCTCTAGAAATATAGTCGCCTTCATAACCTTTCTCTAGAAATATAGTCGCCTTCATAATTTTTTTCTAGAAAAATTGTCGCCTTAATAAATTTTGTCTAGAAAAATTGTCGCCTTAATAATTTTTCTCTAGAAAAATTGTCGCTTTAATAATTTTTCTTTAGAAAAATTGTCGCCTTAATAATTTTTCTCTAGAAAAATTGTCGCCTTCATAATTTTCTGTAGAAAAATTGTCGTCTTCATAATTTTTCTGTAGAAAAATTGTCGTCTTCATAATTTTTCTGTAGAAAACTATAAGAAAACAAATTGTCCCTCACATTGGATTCAAATATTACAAAATTATCAAATTTCTTATCAGTGTCTCTACCTAATTTATTTGAGAAGCGAAGTATTTTCTAAAAGTGTTTTTAAAGTACCAAATTAATAAATGTTCATTCAAATGCACAAACCGAAAGATTTATGGTAACAAGTGGTTCATCCCAGCCATTAATACACATTGTTTGTATGTCTAAAATAGTGATAGTAATATATATTTTTTTCAATGTATGACCATAATTAGAGTTTGTTCTAATTATTTCTTTCGTTTTTTTAGTTGTTGTCTTATATTTTCTCTAATTCTTTAAACGCAATTAATTTCATTAAGTTATGTTTATATTTTATTTAAGTTGTATTACTTTTATTTTGGTATTTAATCTCAATTTTCTTTAAATGTATGCGTGCATCTAAGTATTTGTGTGTGTATGATTTTAAATTTTAGTATGTACTTTTAGCTAAAAAAATCTAAATTGTGTGTTGAGACGATAACCCCTACTCTGCATTCTACATACAATATATTCTTATCATTTTGATACAGAAACTGTTTTCTCTATTAGATTTAAAAAAAAAAAAAATATTTACTTATTTATTTTAATAAAATATAAATTTTTATATATATGTATATACATATAGGTACTAGGGTGATCGATTATTCGACATTTTCCAAAAACCGGTTTTCGAATAGTTCGAATAGTTGACATTTCAAAAAAACCGGTTGATATTTTTCAAATTCAGAAAAAACCGGTTAACCGGTTTTTCATAATAAATAAAAAAATATATGTTAATTTGAAGAAATTAATGTTTATGTTTAAATTTGATTAATAAAACATGGCCCGAAATGATTTTAAACAGTTTAACAGATTATAACTTTAGATCTAGTCGTCTGATTTACATTATTTCTTTAATATAAAAAAATTAGGAAAAAAATGGACACTTCTGTTAAACATAAGGTACTATGTAATCCTAGCTTATTCTAAAGCCCTTTTAGGAAATTTTCATAGGCATTCCAACACTTCCATAATATTTCAGCGGTAAATTAATTATTGTAATTGGAATATAATCTTAAGATTAATAAAATTTTATTAAACAGTTATCAATTTTACAAATAAAATTTTTTAATTAATTAGGAAAATCAAAAAAGTTTAACCAATGGTGCTTTAGAAAAATATATCCTAGTTCCTGGACTCGAATATTTTTAAAATTTAAACGGGCTGTATTATTATTTACTTCAAAATTTAATTTAAATAATCTTTGAATACAAAGCAAATAAAAGTATTCGAAACCGGTTTTTAAAAAGTGAAAAAACCGTGCTATTCGATATTCGAAAAATCAACATTTAGAAAAAACCGACACTGGTAAAGCAGAAAAAACCGGTTTTAAAACCGGTTGAAAAATCGAGTCGATCACCCTAATAGGTACTTACAAATAAACATTTACTTGTTTACATATTTAAATGCTGCTAAATATTTAGCATATGCATGACTTTACAGATTTAGTTCATTGATAAATTTTTAATAAAAATTAATCATTAAAATTTAAATAGTTTGAATTTGCAATTTTCCGCAAAAATATAATTAATTGATTTATTTCAGCTTGTTTTGCCTGTATTTTAAACAATCTTCAGAAAGAATTATTCCGATTTGAAATGAAGAAATAGCTATTTGAACTCCTTTGGACAATTTTTTAGGACCACCAAGTGAAAAGTGACCCTGTATGATCAAAATGTCCAATTTTGATCCCCGGCAGTTCTTGACTGATAGAGCTTAAAATTTGTGCCTAGCCTACTACCCAATAGTACTAACCTTTGTAAAAATTTCATCCAAATCTATTTTTTGAGTTGGGTCACTTGACACGAAATTGTCCATATAAATACTACTATTGCGACATTTTTTTTTACATTTTTACAGTGATGTGAAAAATCTTCTCATTTGAGCCCAGTTTCCTTTAAAAAAATAATATTTATTTATAGTTTTTCACTTCTTAAGAAATAAAATTAGAAATTTTTTCCTTCAAGTATTAAACTTAATATTTTTAAAAGTCCAACTAAAGTAAATCCCTAAAAATAGTAATACATTAAAATATTATAATTGTAAACATCTCAACTTGTTTGCTTTTTTAAGTAGAAATCTTATGCTTATTAGGATACTTTTAATTAGCTATTGTTAAATATAATTTATCTAGTATATATTTTTTTTTACTAAATGAAAATACAAAAACAAAATAAAGTAAAATAGTAATATTCTTCATAACTTAAACTCATTGTTTGATAGAATAGAAAACTATTTTTAATTACAACAACTTTCAATCTGCTAAATACCATTTAATTATTTGTTTTTTTTTTTTTTTTTTGATATTTTTCATTATTCAACAAGAGTTTTTCATTTTGTTTAGAAATACAAATCTAAAAGAAAGAAATCAAAATATTGTTATTACGAAAAAAGAAAAGAAATAAGATTCTAACAATTAAGAAATTCTTTGAAATGACATTTTCACTTTAGCAAATGCTTTAACTAGAAACTAAAATATACAGACACACAAACAAACAATAATACTACTGATAGACAAACAGACGGGAGAGACCAAGAAATAGTTAGATGGATGAATAGACAATTGGACAGATGGACAGACTTATTTGCTGCAAATACAAAACCAAGTACGTATGTGCGTATATGAAATAGCAAATCTTATGACCATTTTAGATGACCAACAAGACATTGTTTTAGATAAATAAAATTCTTTTAATTCTATTACATTGAATGTTAGAAACTATGAAGCCAATAGCTGCTGCAGCCATCATCCATTCAATGACTCTTAAGATGGTCTTTAAATGCATGCTAAGACGACACTTTACAAGAGACCTACTTAGGTTTCTTTCTACTGCTGCAACTTCTTTTTATAACCACCATCAAAAAATAGGATGGGTTTAGTGAGTTTGTTATTCCGTTTGTAACACATAGATATATGTATTTATTCCTTATTAAATTCTAAGAAGATACAGCCCAGCTCATCTTTCTATTGAAAGCACTATAGAATCTACTCGGAATTAAATAGTGGGCTGAAATCTTCCACAAATATATATTCTTGTAGATAATATTGTAAAACATACCGGATATCGGAACATATTTCATCCAAGGTCCTCTTTGAAAATGACTATAAACCTCGTCTCTGGATTAAAAAACCAGACAATTCGACATCAACAAGTTTCATAACAATCAAAATCCTCCCAAAATTTGTCAAATGTCATGAGAGTCGAACATCACTTATCTAACTCGATTGCTTCAAGCTTCCATAAAAAAAGATTTTCCGAAAATCGCTGTAATTCTCAAAGAATCACTTTATAATGATCTAAATTCAAACATTAATTTGCTTTGATGTTGGGCATTTAAGATTCGTCATAGCTC